TGTATATATATATATACACATATGTACACATATATATGAATGTGTGTGTGTGTTCTAGAGATATGGCTTTACCTAGAAATCAAGCTTGGACAGCCTTGAGGAATTAATGGTAGGCATGTTTTTAGAATATCATCATCAGTTGACTTGCTCAGCAAGCCCTCTTTAATATAGGGTAAGAATGTATTTTATAATAACTAATGTAGACTTTGGCACAGATATGCTAAAGTCATCCACTGCCCTCTTTTCTAGCTCTATTTTCCTCAGAAATAATTGCAACCTTTTTGAAAATGTCATGGTTTCCATATAAGTAAGGACTATGTTACAATGAGGTAAAACCCAAGGAAAACTGCCTTAAAGCATAGTGGGATTGATTGTCTAGGTAATGAAAGTCCAAAAGTGGGCAAGGTTCAGGGCTGATCAATTTAGTGACTTAATGACATCATCAAAGACCTGTCTGTTTCTATTACTCAGTTCTGCCAGCTGCACAATGAGTTTCATCCTAAGTTTGCCTCTTCTTGGGTTTTCTCATTCATATCTAGTATGAGAGAGAAGATCCCAAAAGGTTCCAGAAATCTCTCTTCTTGACTCCTTGGTCTGAAATGGGTTACAGGCTCATCCCTGAACCTGTAATGGTGCCAAGGGAGAGGTCTGTACAGGTTTGCTTTGGTCTGAGCTGCTTGTCCAAATCCTAGAGCCAGGGTTGAATTTAACTTCTGGCAACATATGTGAGATGATTAGAATAAGTATGATACCTCAAATAAAATCATGATATTAGCCAAGAGAGGAGAGAATGGGTCTTAGTGAAGCAATAGCAAAGTTCAGTACAGCATCCAGCACCTGCAAATTTCAGCCTGTAACTTGGAAACATACATGAGGAAATATTTTTTAAATGATTTTATTATTTTCATATTTTATTATTATTATAGCATTAATTAAACTTCATGGAAATGAAGAGAAAGAAAATCTACCTATTATGCCACTAATTTTTCAAATAATCAGTTTTTCCTTCAAGTTTTTATGCTTAGTATTTTAAAAAATATTTCATTGTAATGATAGCATGGATACAATTTTACATTTTGTTACCATTTCAATCAATGACTGTATCATACTCCATTAAGTGGCTCAATGATATCATAATTTACTTAATCATTGTCTTTCTGTAGGATATTTAAGTTGTCTGCAATTTTTTTTATGTTGGTAAATTCTATTTATTTATTTATTTTACATTAGAGTATTATGCAATGTTTTGATATTATAAAGGACCCAGCTGATATTTTTATGTATGTGACTTTTTCCTTTGGAATTTATCTGTGTCAGAGTATGGTTCCTGATACAGATTTACATACTATTATCCATTTTACACCAGAATAAAGCTTCTTTTAAGATGATAATCTTTTGAGTTTGCCAAGTGCTTTCACAATTCACCTTCTGACTCAGATATTAAACTCTTTAAATAGCATTTGCTTATAGGGACACTTTATAAGCTTGCATAATCCTAACTGTTTGGATTGAATTTTGGGAGGAGAGTCAGAGTCCCTACTCAGAAGGATTTAGGGTGGTGGAGTGATATATTTGTGTAGTGTAGGATAGTAGTTAAATTCATGGCTTTTTGAGTAAGACAGACTTGAGTTTGAATCCACATTCTACTTGCTTGTTATATGATCTTTGGACATGTTATTTAATAACATTCTGGATCTCAGTTATCTGCAGTGGAGATGGTATTTTCCTACTTTATCAGTTTTTTTCTGGATTGTGGGAGACAATGTACAGAAAGCCAAGTGAATAATAAGTGTCAACAATGTGGTTATTATTATTGAGCAACTGTGACTTTGCTCTGAGGCCAAGATTAAGAGGCATAATACAGTGTGTGTTGGAGAATTTAATTTCTGTCCAAGGAAAATAATCACATACTCTGAATTTGATGTGAAACCCTCACTCTCTGAATCCCCTTCAGAGAATTCACATATCATCATTGTCCTATCTCTGGAAATTTTCTGAGTTGAGGCCCTCAATGCCTCAAAATGATAGTGTTGTACTGACATACTGGCATTGAACATGCCAAGTCAAATTCTGACTCCTTCCATTCTCTGGTTTAGCATCACTTTTTTTTTTTTTTTGTCTTGCTTTGGTGCCCAGGCTAGAGTGAGTGCCGTGGCGTCAGCCTAGCTCACAGCAACCTCAAACTCCTGGGCTCAAGCAATCCTGCTGCCTCAGCCTCCCGAGTAGCTGGGACTACAGGCATGCGCCACCATGCCCAGCTAATTTTTTCTATATATATTAGTTGACCAATTAATTTCTTTCTATTTATAGTAGAGACGGGGTCTCGCTCTTGCTCAGGCTGGTTTCAAACTCCTGACCTCGAGCAATCCCCCCCCCCCCCCCCCCCCGCCTCGGCCTCCCAGAGTGCTAGGATTACAGGCGTGAGCCACCGGGCCAGGCCAGCATCACTTTTTGAAACACAAAGATCAATTCTACCCCTTCACTGGATCTTAAAGGAAGGAACCAGGAAGGCCAGTCCAGCCCAGCACAGGGGATCCCTCCATGTGATCTTCCGCAAACAGTCCTTTGCTGATGCTCCCAGTGGTGAAAAGGATGTTTGTGAATTGGCCCACTTCATAATTGGAAGTAATGGCAGTTAGAAAGCACTGCTTTTTATGTAGCTTAAATGTCTCCCTCTGTAACTTCTGTTTCTTGGATATAGTTCTGTCCTTGGGGCAGTACAGAAGCAGGCTACTATGGAGGCAGACAGATTTGCATATGAATCCTGGCTCCGTTAGTTGTTTACTTTGGACAGGTCACTTACAGTCTGCAACCAGAATATGGGGATGACATTAGTATACACCACACAGGGTTGTTACAGGATTAAATGAAATAAGCACATCACGCACCTAGTACAGGACACAATAGCTGTTATGAGGCAATAGGGGAATATTATAGTCATGTCTTTCTCCTGATATGGAGGAGGATGATGGTGAAATGCATTATGTTGAGTCCCTGGCAGATTCAGAAATCTTTAAACCAGATGTTCCAATTAGACAAGCTGGTTCTTTATGGTAAAGTCAAACTATTGATCCTTACTGCTTGAATAGAGGGAGAGAGGGAGGGAAGGGAGACACCAGGAAAGATCAACAAGTTGTTTTCAATCTTTTCCACCACAATGCCCCTGAGGGATGTGAGCTCCTTGCATGACTACCAAGGGTTCATGTGGGCAATGGGCTCAGGCATTTTCCCTGGGGGTGGCAAGGGGGTGTTCTAAGCAGCCTGTGTAGTTTATAAAAGCTCTCCCAATCCCAGGGAGGTTCTGAGAGCCCCATGGGAGGTTTTTTCCCTCTTTCCCACTCCCAATGTTGAGAACCACTGAAATAGATACTGAGAAGCACACTGTCTTCTTGACATCTCTATTGAAATGGGATTGATTGATTATCTAAGTGCAATAGATCAAAGCAGTGGTTCTCAAAGTGTGGTCCCAGGACCAGGATCACTTAAGAACTTATTAGAAATGAAATTGTTGGCCACGGCATATTGGTTCACACCTGTAATCCTACCACTTTGGAAGGCTGAGGCAGGAGGATTGCTTGAAGCCAGGAGTTTCAGACCAGCCTCAGCAACAGTGAGACCTCCATTTCTACAAACACTAAAAAAAAAAAAAAAAAAAAAAAAAAAACTAGCTGGGCATTGTGGTGCATGCCTGTAATCCAGAAATTTGAGGTTGCAATGAGCTATGATGACAGCACTGCATTCTAGCCCGGGTGACAGAATGAGACCCTGTCAAAAAAAAAAAAAAAAGAAAGAAAGCAAATCGTTATGCCCCACTCAAACCTATAAAAATCTGTGTTTTATTTATTTACTTATTTTTGGAGACAGAGTCTCACTGTGTCACCCCAAGTAGAGTGCAGTGGCATCATCATAGCTCACTGCAACCTCAACCTTCTGGGCCTGCCTTAACCTTCTGAGTAGCTCAGACTATAATAGGCATGTGCCACCACAACTAGCTAATTTTTCTATTTTTTGTACAGACAGGGATCTCACTCTTGCTCAGGCTGGTGTTGAACTCCTGAGTTCAAGCAATCCTCCTGCCTTGGCCTCCCAGAGTGCTAGTATTACAGGCATGAGCCACTGCACCGGGCCTGGAATCTGTGTTTTAACAAGCCTTCCAGGTGATTCTGATGCATGCTAAAGTTGTCAGTGGGTTAAGGAAAGGGGAGAAAGACATGGGAGCTGGAATTATCATTACATCTAGCAACCCTGGGCTTACCCTGCCTTGCTTTTGGATTCACACTGCCCCCATGCCTGAGGCCTATCTGATGTTCTGGTTGGATGACTTATTAGGGAGATTGAGTTCTGCCAGCAACATTTCTATCCTCACACTGTATTGGGGTTACTGGCCAACTGTGCTTGCTTGTTAGATCAGCCAAGAACTGGCTTAATTTCTCTTACCCAAGCCTTGTGTGAATTTATTGTTCTCTTCTTTGGACTAAGGAATATTCCAGCCTCTTTCCAACATCTACTAAATAGAAGTTGTCCTTAACTATTTTAATGATATTGCTGTTATGGGTCAAATACAGAGTCAAAACACTTTACTCGGCCGGGCGTGGTGGCTCACGCCTGTAATCCTAGCACTTTGGGAGGCCGAGGCGGGCGGATTGCTCAAGGTCAGGAGTTCGAAACCAGCCTGAGCGAGACCCTCGTCTCTACCAAAAATAGAAATAAATTAATTGACCAACTAAAAATATATATACAAAAAATTAGCCGGGCATGGTGGTGCATGCCTGTAGTCCCAGCTACTCGGGAGGCTGAGGCAGTAGGATCGCTGAGCCCTGGAGACTGAGGTTGCTGTGAGCCAGGCTGACGCCACGGCACTCACTCTAGCCTGGGCAACAAAGTGAGACTCTGTCTCAAAAAAAAACAACAACAAAAAAAACCACTTTACTCAGTTTGAAAATGTCACTTATTTCATTCTACTCTATACTATACTTAGTTTTTATTTTTCCACTGTGCAGGCAATGAACACTTATTGAGAACCTATTAAATACCAGGCACTATGGTAAATGTCCTTGTCCCTGAGGAGCACACAATATGGCGACTGGAACTACTTGTTGGGTAGCCTAAAAGGTATTATATTCCCCATTTTACAGATGAGAAAGCTGAGACTTGGAACTCAAGTCTATACTGTAAGTGGCAGAGCTGGGATTTGAACCTAGATCTGTCTGGCTCTAAAGCTCATGCTCCCTCTACTATATACCATGTTCATTCTGGGACATGTCTTCTCCAATAGAACTTTTTAAGGATGGGAACCATACATGACATCTAGCGAGGTATTTTGCACATGGTAGAATTTGAATAATGTTTGTTTAATGAATATAAAATATGTCTTTAAAATAATTCAGGTAGATAGACTGATAATATGGGCTACTAAGTATCAAAATTGGGGGTATTAGAAATACTCAATTTGGGTTTCATAAAGTGGTGGGGAAGTACCCCTCATCTCAGGAGACTGAATACTAAATTTATAGAAATAAGACTTAATGAAAGGGCCCAGCGTGGTAGCTCACACCTGTAATCCTAGCACTCTGGGAGGCCGAGGCGGCCAGATTGCTCGAGGTCAGGAGTTCGAAACCAGCCTGAGCAAGAGTGAGACCCTGTCTCTATTATAAATAGAAAGAAATTAATTGGCCAACTAACATATATATAGAAAAAAATGAGCCGGGCATGGTGGCGCATGCCTGTAGTCCCAGCTACTTGGGAGGCTGAGACAGTAGGATTGCTTGAGCCCAGGAGTTTGAGGTTGCCGTGAGCTAGGCTGACGCCACAGCACTCACTCTAGCCTGGGCAACAAAGTGAGACTCTGTCTTAAAAAAAAAAAAAAGAATTAAGAAGGAAGAAAGGATGTTTGCATGGAGAGAAAGTGTTGAATAGGTACTAAACTAGTTTAGAAAGTTCTTAAGGTTGCTTCTTGGTCTTTTCTATACCTATGCAGTTCAATTAAAACGTTACCGACAAGAATAAATACTGAATTTCTGTGTGTCAACAGGCATTTGACCAGGTTAAACAATTTTTCTCACAAGCTGTAGTCTTTGCTGCCTAATAATCAGAGATGTTATACCTCCATAAATGGTTGACAAGCAGGTCAGAGCAGTGTTAATTTCCAGCAGTAACTTAGAATCAAAGTAGAGAAAAAGCTATAGCAATGAGTGCCATCTAGTGGCCATTCAGAAGGTGTAACAATTTAGTCAGTCTCTGTCAGTAAGAGAAATTCAGTTCACTAACCATCATTTCTGTAATGTAATAACTGTGTGGTGGGCTCTCAGCAGACAGAAGTTTGATTTCTAGTGGGAGCTCATTTTCCAGATCTATAAAAGTTGAGTCTGAGTCCTTCTCCAGATATTAAGTAATCACAGATTTGCGTTAGAGAGAAGTAAAGCCATATCTTGGACTTTAAGTAGAGTAGAATGGGGAAATATGAAGTAATAATATTTCCTTCTCTGTTGATTTTCCCACCCTGGAAAGGTATAATGATAGTGCCTAATCTGGGATCGCTTACTGGCCCTCTTTTCTTCCAAGACAATATCCCCAGTCTACCCCAACTCATTCTAGATGAGGTGGTAGGAGAAAACATGGCCCAAGATCTGAAAAGGAAAACATTTTTTTTTTTTTTTTTTTGAGACAGAGTCTCACTCTGTTGCCCGGGCTAGAGTGCCATGGTGTCAGCCTAGCTCACAGCAATCTCAGACTCCTGGGCTCAAGCAATCCTCCTGCCTCAGCCTCCTGAGTAGCTGGGACTACAGGCATGCGCCACCATGCCCAGCTAATTTTGTTTATATATTTTTAGTTGGCCAATTAATTTCTTTCTATTTTTGGTAGAGACGGTGTCTTGCTCTTGCTCAGGCTGGTGTTGAACTCCTGACCTTGAGCAATCCACCCGCCTCAGCCTCCCAGAATGTTAGGATTACAGGCATGAGCCACAGCACCCAGCCTGAAAAGAAAAATTCTTAAAGGAAAGTGCTCACAAGGGGCTGACAGATCCTACTTTCAAAATGTTTGATGTAACTACAGTTTCAAGAAAAATACAAAGAATTCTGATATACTTTATACATTTTACCCAGATTTTCCAAATAGAAACATTTTTTGCCATGTTTTCTTCTCTCTCTCTCTTCTCCCTCCACTCCCCCCACACACCTGTGTGAGAGTAAATTGTAGACACAATGCCCTGTTATTCCTAAATATCTTAATATATATTTTCTAAAAACAAGGATATTCTCTTATCTAAGTCAGAAAATTATCTCAGATCCAGTACTGTTATTTAATGAACAGACCTTATTATAATTCCACCAATCATTCCACTACAGCCTTTATTACAGAAGAAAAAATAATGTCCCAGGATCACAGATTATATTTAGTTTTCATATTTCTTTAGTTTCTTTTAAACAATTAGTTTTCTTTGTTTTTCATTACCTGGCCAAAGAATTTGAGTAATGAAATAAGTAATAACAAATTATAACCCATACAAAAAATAAACAAGAATCTGAGAGTTCAAACAGATATACATAAATCAATAAATGAGAAAGAGAAAAAGCTCTTCCTAGAAAGAATGCCAACTAATATATGTAAAAGGAATTATGTAATAAAAAATCACCATTTGGGCCGGGCGTGGTGGCTCACGCCTGTAATCCTAGCACTCTGGGAGGCCTAGGCGGGCAGATTGCTCGAGGTCATGAGTTCGAAACCAGCCTGAGCACGAGCGAGACCCCGTCTCTACTATAAAATAGAAAGAAATTAATTGGCCAACTAATATATATATATATAAATTAGCCGGGCATGGTGGCGCATGCCTGTAGTCCCAGCTACTCGGGAGGCTGAGGCAGAAGGATTACTTGAGCCCAGGAGTTTGAGGTTGGTGTGAGCTAAGCTGACGCCACGGCACTCACTATAGCCTGGGCAACAAGCGAGACTCTGTCTCAAAAAAAAAAAAAAAAAAAAAATCACCATTTGACAACTATCTTTGTTGCCAGATTATTAAATCAGGCAAAAGTCATTAATGGATGCTAAAACTATTAGATGAAAGATTGATGAGTAAGAGGATATTTACATAGTTTCAAAGTATCTCCCCACAAAATACATATTAATCACAAAGAGAAAAAATAATACGTTTACATTGAGGAAATCTGGCAGACACCACCTAAATAAAGGTTCCAAGTTGACATCACCAGTATAATGAAACAAATAGACTATGTATGTACATCCTGATATGATACATTGAAGGACACAGCATCACTTCCCTGGTATTTCTCCCGAAAATGCATAAGATGAATTTTAAAATGAGGAAACATCAGATTAACCTAAATTGAGGGACAATCTATAAAATAAATGTCTTCCAGTTTTCAAATCCTGCCTTTTAACCAGAAAACTTAGAGTCCCCCTTGCATAAAGCCCTACTTCATGCACTTGGGACTAGGTGTGTGTGTTAGGGTGGTTGATAGAGATTCAGTTCTTCAGGGCAAAGGTAAGTTCTGTTTGGATCTGAGAACACTCTGAGTCCCTCTCTCAGGAGATGACTGTGCCCATCAGGATGCACTAGTCACACCTGGGCCAGCAGTGCCATGCCTACCTGCTACTCTCATGGCTACAGAGTCATTGACTCCAGGGGTCATGAGACCACATCTCTCTTGTAAGGTGTTTGGCCAGGGCCTTGAACTATAGAGGAAGTACTCTAGAATATGGAGGTACTTTCCAAAGGGCATAAATGCAGGACAAATAAAAGCAAGCATTACCTAATGTAGAAGGCAGAAATATCTTGGCTCTAGGGAATAAGAAACAGGAGTTAAGCTGGTTCAGGAAGAGAAAAGTAAAATTTCATAATCACAACATAATTTCATAACAATATCATGAGACAATTACTAAGTAGAATTCAGTCTTTCTTAGGTGAGTTGGAGGAGTGGAGGAGACCTTGCAGCTACAACCTTTCCATAATGCCTTCCCTGGTTTCCTCAATGCCACCATCAGCCTCCCAGCCAACCATGGGGGGTAGGGCTGTCATCTGTGTAGCATCTCCAGCTCCAAGGCTGTGGGTTTTCTCATCTCCTCTGGGAAATGGTTATGGAAACAGTGAGAAGGACGCAGCCTCTTGGGTTGTTTTTTAGTGACCTATGGAATGACAAGCTCCAGTGCTTATTACTACACGAAAGTGATGTCTGAGCTCTTCTTACATACTCCGTCGGACACTGGAGTCACCTTCCAGGCCATCAGCAGCATGGCAGACTTCTGGGATGTGAGTATGAGATCTTCCCTACCTCTCTGCTCCCCCTCTCAATGGCCTGAGGAAGGTTGGACTGTGAGCCAGGGAAGTTGGAAGTGAGTCAGGCCGCGTGCCCAGAGATCAGGTCAGTTAAGGATCAGGCTGAGTCAATGGGTCAGGTTGAAATAATGGGTTAGGCTGGAGTTCAGGTGGAGGTAGGTGAAGTGTCAGGATATTGATCAGGGAGGCAAACCAGGAGTTAGACTAGCACTGGGAGTCAGAGGTAAGGCTGAACCTCGAAACACATTTCAAATGAAGAGTAGGGCCATACCAGGTAAGGATCTGGGCAAGGTTCATTGGTTAGCTGAGGAGTCCAAAAAAAGCAGACTGAAGACAGGTTGGGGTAGGGGTAGAGGTCAAAGAATGAGAGCAAAGGTCATTGTTTGGGTAGAAGGTCAGGATGAGGCTGGGTAAGGTTCAACCTGGCCTGTGGTCCAGTTTGCCCAGGGCCCATTACTGGACAGTTTGTACTGGACCAAATGGTACAACAACCAGAGCCTGGGCCACGGCTCCCACTCCTTCATCTACTACGAGAACCTGCTGCTGGGGGTTCCGCGGCTGCGGCAGCTGAGGGTCCGCAATGACTCCTGTGTGGTGCATGAGGACTTCCGTGAAGACATTTTGAGCTGTTACGATGTCTACTCTCCAGACAAAGAAGAGCAACTCCCCTTTGGGCCCTTCAATGGCACAGCGTGAGTGAGCCCCCACCAGTGTCGCAGGGCTTGCCCTCTGAGCATGACACCATCCCAAGGTGTGGGAACCACCTCCACTGAGGCTTAAGGAGCCTTGGGGGTGCTTCAGAGGACTTGGGAGGCATCTCCCTCAGTCCCAACTGTGACTCTTTGGGGATCTTGTTCTATCACTCAGGCACAGAGGAGGTGGGTTAGCAGACATAGCTGTAGCCTCTGTCATTCTCACACACAGGTCACAGTCACTCTTACCCTCCCTGCAGGTGGTCCTTCAGGGTGGGGGGAAGCACTTTCTTGCCCATGGGGGTGTGCCCTCGGGGTATGGAGACTGAGTGAAAGGGAAGAGTCTGACCCTCAGCCTGAGAGAGGGAGCAGCAAGAAGTGGGGGTGAGGACGGATGAGGGATTAGGGAAGAAAGGGAAAAGGGTGAACAGGACAGGAAAGAAGGGGAGGAAACAAGGGCCCAGGGCAGAAGTGCGGGGCATAGAACAGAGAATCATGGGGTTCAGCAGCCAACTGTACAGTCGCGGGGCCAAAAGGATGTTTTCTGGACTGTACGGTCCAGGTGCTTCCCCATTCCAGCCATTGTTAATACAGTGAGAATGGTTACATGGCTGGATACTTTCTCGACAGCCTATATATATATATACACACACACACACATAATATATGTGAAACTATAAAGTCCAGACAATTATAAAGTGTTGCCATTGCCCTGGGAGATGAGCTTTCGGGCTGGCATTTTCTGTGGCAGGTGGACATACCACTCGCAGGATGAGCTGGGGGGCTCCTCTCACTGGGGCAGGCTCACCAGCTACAGTGGAGGCGGCTACTACCTGGACCTTCCAGGACCCCGACAGGCCAGTGCAGAGGCTCTCCGGGACCTCCAGCAGGGGCTGTGGCTAGACAGGGGCACTCGGGTGGTGTTCATCGACTTCTCAGTCTACAATGCCAACATCAATCTGTTCTGTGTTCTGAGGTGAGCTCCCTTTCCCTACTGCATCCCCCCATCCATGGATCCTGGCTCCTTTCTTCTGTGTTTGAGGCCCTTCCCTAAACTTGTACCCTATGGTGGTTGGTGGGGGTGGAGAGGAGAGGAGGTGGGAGCAACTGTCCTAGACCAGGTCCCCTTAGTTGTGCCCCTGCCCCCACAGACTGGTGGTGGAGTTTCCAGCTACAGGAGGTGCCATCCCATCCTGGCAAATCCGCACGGTTAAGCTGATCCGCTATGTCAGCAACTGGGACTTCTTTATCATTGGCTGCGAGATCGTCTTCTGCATCTTCATCTTCTACTATGTGGTGGAGGAGATCCTGGAGCTCCACATCCACCGGCTTCGCTACCTCAGCAGCATCTGGAACATACTGGACCTGGTGGTCATCTTGGTGAGGGATGGATATCTTGGACTTGGGACATACTGGGAGGAGGAGGGGGATCCACTTTTTTTTTTTTTTTTTTTTTTTTTTATATAGAGTCTCACTCGCTCTGTTGCCTTGACTAGAGTGCAGTAGTGTCATCATAGCTCACTGCAACCTCAAACTCCTGGGCTCAAATGATCCTCCTGCCTCAGTCTCCCAAGTAGCTGGAACTATAATAGGTGCATACCACGAGGCCTGGCTAATTTTTCTATCTTTAGTAGAGACCGGTCTCGCTCTTTCTCAGGCTGATCTCAAACTCGAGCTCAAGCAATCCTAATTTGGCCTCCCAAAGTGCTAGGATTACAGGCACCTGGCCTAGGATCTGCCTTTGCAGGGGTCCCAAGTCCTCCTTCTAACTTTTGGTCAAGTAACTGTAATAACTCTCTAAGCGAGAGGCTGATGTTCCCCTGGCTCTGCCCTTGGAAAACACTGTCTCTCATGTCTCCTAGCCTCCTCACCTGTTTATGTACTTAATATCCTGTTCCTCTCCTGTCTTTTTGCCTTTATGACCTGTCCCCTTAAAATCCCTGCTTTTTTCTTCTATATTCAAATATCCTGCCCATTCGTTTTCATTCCTTCCTACTAACAGGACACACTGGTTTCCTGACCAAGGCTGGGACGTGGTGGGAGTAGAGGAAATAAATTTCTTGGTTCCAGTTCCCTATGGCCCTTCACAACCTGCATGTTTACTTCTGGCCCCAAATCCTTCTGCTGGGCTCCCCAATCATCCTTTCCAATTGTATTTGGACCTGAGATAGTGAACAACTCACAGGGAAGGATGTTTTTTCCCCACCTGTCTTACCTTTGCTGGCTCTTTCCTGGGGCCTCAACTTTGAATTTCCCTCGAGATCCCTTTGACTCCTCTGATGCCCCCATGACCCCTATGTGACAGCTCTCCATTATGGCCATCGGCTTCCACATATTCCGAACCCTGGAGGTGAATCGGCTGATGGGGAAACTCCTGCAGCAGCCAAACACGTATGCTGACTTCGAGTTCCTCGCCTTCTGGCAGACGCAGTACAACAACATGAATGCTGTCAACCTCTTCTTTGCCTGGATCAAGGTACCCTGGGGTTCCTCATGCCCAGCTCTGCCACAGGGCACTCTTTCCCCCTTCCTTAATATGTGTCTCATTTTCCTCATCTGGTTTGGCAACTCCTGTGGCCTCCACAGGCCCCTGGAGTGGACTTTACAATGCTTCTCCCTTTCCCTCCTTCACTACTTGGTTCGACATGGCCTTTCCAGATATTCAAGTACATCAGCTTCAACAAAACCATGACCCAGCTCTCCTCCACGCTGGCCCGCTGTGCCAAGGACATCCTGGGCTTCGCAGTCATGTTCTTCATTGTTTTCTTCGCCTATGCCCAACTCGGCTACCTGCTTTTCGGGACCCAAGTGGAAAACTTTAGCACTTTTGTCAAGTGCATGTGTGTGTCCTTCCCCCTTCACTCCTCCCTGGCCCCTCACCCTCCAGCTCCATGGGTGTGTGTATCCCTGGGGAAGATGGCCAGATGTGTGTGGGTGTGTCTGTGCTTGAAGCATCTGTGTGAGAGGCTCTGGAAGCCCCAGTGTGTGCTCAAGTCATCTATGCACCCTGCTCTGTCTCTATCAGATTGGGCTGACGTGCAGTGGGGTGGCGGCGGAGGGGGGTCTGTCTGTAGTAAGGGAAGTGGAATGAGGGTATGGATTGGGGTCAGGGTTTGGTTAGGTTTTGGGTGAAGCCTAAACCTGGTCTCTCAGTTTCACTCAGTTCCGGATAATCCTTGGAGACTTTGACTACAATGCTATTGACGATGCCAACCGCATCCTGGGCCCTGCCTACTTTGTCACCTATGTCTTCTTCGTCTTCTTTGTGCTCCTGGTGAGAGTCTCTCTGAGGGGTGGGGACATAACCTGCAGGGTGGAGTTTTGGCCCCCATATGTCCCTCATTAGGATTATGATGAGTTTCTCAAATCAAGGATGGAGAGTGTGTGTGAGGGGTGGACGTTTGGATGTTCTGAGAGCTGGCTAATGTGGTCAGTGTGGCCAGCAAGTCAGTTTACAGGTTTGCAGAGTATAATGGAACCTGCAGACACCTTCACTAAAATCAAACCCACATCCTCTAAGGATGGAAAGGGAGAGAAAAGTGCCTCATGAGGAGAAGAAGCTGCTATGCCTGTTCTCCAAGACTCCCTTTCCTCAGGGACCTCTTGCTGATTTCTACTGCCACTACTTGGTAGTTCTCTCTGCCAACCATGAAAGATCTGGACTTAATTTTTATTATCAAGGCCAACAGGTTTCTTTATTTGATCAAAAAATAGGGATACAAACATGGATTGGGGGTAGATGGTAAAGAGAGCACAATTGTACTCTTACCTTGAGAAGTTTCTGGTTTCAGTGATTGACAGGCCTTAATATGGAGGAGGTCTGTGGCATCTATGGGGGTATCACTGTGGTCAGAAAGGTTGCTGCAGCAATTGAGACTCAGGATGCCAGGTTGATGAGGGAGCATGTTCCATCCCTAACAGAATTGTGCTGAAAGGCTGGCCTGTTGCGGAGCCTGAAAGGTGGGGATTGGTGGGCTGCAGAGCTGGGGTTAAGTGCATCTGATCTTTTAGGAACATGTGTCTGGGACAAAAATGGGGTCAGTGGGCTCAATGCTTTCAGTGCATCTGGGGGTGAGGACCCAGGTCCCTGCGTTATCCTCCAGAACATGTTCCTGGCCATCATCAATGACACATACTCAGAGGTCAAGGAGGAGTTGGCTGGACAGAAGGATGAGCTGCAAATTTCTGACCTCCTGAAACAGGTGACCACCTAGTCTCCTTGAGCTGCACATTTGCATGAGGGCCCAGGTCCTAGGCTCTGTGTCCTGATCTCTTTCTGACTGGTATAGGGGCCTGTGCCCTGTATGTCTTCGACTTTTCCATGGAAGTGTGGCGTTCTGTGGGTGGGTGTGGGGTCCAGGGGTGATGAGAAGCCTGTGGGAAATGGTGCCCATCCCTTTCCCTTTCAGGGATATAACAAGACCCTCCTACGCCTGCGTCTGAGGAAGGAGAGGGTTTCGGATGTACAGAAGGTCCTGCAGAGTGGGGAGCAGGAGATCCAGTTCGAGGATTTCACCAACACCTTGAGGGAGTGAGCAGCCAGAGAGCCAGCCTTCTCTGATATTGGTCTATAAGCCCATGACCCTCAACTATAGGGGTCTATAGGCCTCTGATCTTGACTTGCAGGTTTCTGACCTTTGCCCATAGGTCTCAGATCCTGATCTTTAGAATTGTGCCCTTGGTTTAAAGGTCTCTGACCATGGTCTATAACATTCTGGACCTTGTTGATCCACTCTTAGGACTACTGTAATAACATAAGTCCCTAATCATTTCATATAACCCCCACTCTCAAAAAACTCTGATCTTCCTTCATTGCTTTCCCACAAACACTGTTCTATTTCTTTATCCACTTGCTCCCCAATCCCCAGTCAAACATATTAATAAACATGGAACAAATATATTGTGAGCACCAGCTGGAGCCCAGGGATTGAATAAGGGACAACATAATGAGATAAAGTCTTTGTTCTCCAGGAGCTCATAGACATGTAAGTGAAAAAACTGAATCATAGAATCAATTCAACAACAGAAGTGACTACAAGAGAGGGGGCATGGAGTAAAGAGAGTGATCAATTTCTATTTCTGAGCTCAAAAGAGGGCTTCCCGGAAGAAGTGATGTCTGAATAGGGTTTTGGAGGATTAATAGCTTATCAGCAGAGAGGAGAGGAAAGCCATTTCAAGAAGAGGCGAAAGCATATACACAGGCATAGAGGTCTGAAACTAAGCAACATATACAGAAGTAGTAAGGAGTTGAGCATTGCTAAGGTATCAAATAAAAGGTGGATCATAGCAGGAGATGAGGCCAGAGAAATGGGAAAGGGCCACATTGGGAAAGGCCTTAAACACACTACCACTGTATCCAAAGAATAGGATGCCCAGAAGGGATTTTAAGCAGGAAAGGGGCATATTTAGTCCTGCATGTTAGAAAGGTTAATGATGCTAGTTGTATCATGAAGGATGTATTTAAGGACTGGGAGTAGAGGGGAAGCCTGGGGGTGGCAGGTTATTTAGGGGCAAAGAGATTTTGCAGTAATCTCTATAGGAGGTCACAGGGCCCTGAACCACGCGGCAGGAGTCAGGAGGGAAAGAAGAAATAGATTCACATGATTTCTTGGGGGTAAAATTGCTAGTCTTTGGAGTTATTTATTTCCTAGAAAACAAGACTCTTGCCAAAGTCTAGCAAAAGAGTGGGGAGTCGGTAATTGAGAGGTTACAGCCACAACAGGGCAGAAGTCATTTCATCATTCTGTTCTCTTCAGACTGGGACATGCAGAGCATGAAATCACTGAGCTCACAGCTGCCTTCACCAGGTTTGACCGAGATGGGAATCGCATCCTGGATGAGAAGGAGCAGGAACAAATGCGACAGGACCTGGAGGAGGAGAAGGTGAGCCAGGCTGATTGGTGGAGAGGCAGTGTAAGGAAACTGCTCACCATCTCCTTCCCCTGACACACCCAGGACACAAACCTAGACTGAAAAATCTTCCCATAGATGAGCAGGAAAGAATGCTCTAGAATGGTAGTTCTCAAACCCCTGCACATTGGCATATCCTGGGGAGCCTTTAAAAATCCTCATACTCAGGCCACATACCCTAGACAAATAAAATCAGAATTTCTGGGGGTGGGACTCAGACATCAGTATTTTTTAAAGCTCCCCAGGTGATTCCAATGCATAGCCAAGGTTGAGAGTCATTGCTCTAAGACAGAGTCTTGGGCGAAGTGACTAATTTGCCCAAGAGTCCCTGATAATTCCCTCTGAGGACTTGCCTTCTCCTTGGGATTTTCAACCTCTGATCCTCGCTGCCTCTACTCTGCCTGCTCCATACCTATCCAGGGTAGACCTAAAAAAGTCAAGGGCAGAATGACAGCAGCCCAGAAAGAAAGCACCAAGAATTCTGGTACTGTCACCCCTCTCCTAAAATGAGTTGGCCTCTAGTGAACACCTCACCAATCAAGGTTTCAAGAAGCTTGTGTTTTCTTTCTTTGGGAGGTGACTCCCTCTTCTGAGGTTGGTCCACCACCACCACCATTGGCCTACCTATTGTCTCCAGAGTCTGGGAGGGAAGGGGAATAGCAAGAACTGGAATCCGAGGCTTGGTCCTGAAAGCCCATTAGAGCAGGTGATAGAACAAGAGCTGATGGCTTCCCAGGGTCATCTTCTCCCCTCTAACCTCTGACTTCCTGATCAGGTGGCGCTCAATGCTGAGATTGAGAACATGGGCTGGTCCCTTGCGAGTAGCCTACCAGGTGAGCTGGGCCCAGAGGCTGCCAGAGAAGGAGGCTGGATTTCAGGAGAAGAATTCTACATGTATGTATAGCCAGGGACCCAGGGCTGGCTATGTTTGTAATATCCTAACTTGACCTTTTTACCACAACTTTCCAATTCCCTGTCCCAGTCCAAGGAGAACCTCTGATCCCCTTTAATTCTCCCTACAAGGCTGGGTCTTATCTTTCTTGTTCCAGTCCAGACACATGCTGTTCTGTTACCCCTGCCTCTGCAGATACCTGGTCCCCAGGCACATATTTTTGCTCCACTGGTCTCTCTCAAATCCTTCACAGGCTCACAAGGAGAGTTCTGCAGCTGGAGACTGTCCTGGAAGGACTTGTGTCCCGGGTTGATGCTGTGGGCTCAAAGCTAAACCTGCTGGAGAGGAAGGGGTGGCTGGCACCCTCCCCAGGCATGGTGAGTGGCCCTTCACCTGGGTCTTCTTAGCTCCCCACAGCTGAACTCTACTATCTTTTCCACTTAGTGGGTGGGGGAAGAACATTTTTGAAAGACATATGTTCTTAGGCTCCTGGGGAAACATGTTCCCAGTGGTCAGTGTATCAGTGGAGGTGGGGTGTGGAGATAAGGCTTTGAAATTGGTTGCCCTGGCCTAAGGGCTGCCTTGGCCTCTAGGAGATGGTCTGTGTCAGTCTGTTTGGGCTTCAGTAACAAACTATCATAGACTAGGTGGCTTATAAACAACAAAAATTTATTTCTTATGATTTGGGAGGCTGGGAAGTGTAAGATCAATGTGTCAGCAGATTCAATGTCTAATGAGGGCCCAGTTCCTGGTTCATAGATAGCTGTCTTCTTGCTGTGTCCTCACATGGTTGAAGGGGAAAGGGAGCTCTCTTTTATAAGGGCACTAATCCCTTTCATGAGGGCTCCACACTCATGACCTAATCACCTACCAAAGGCCCCACCTTCTAATACCATCACCTTGGGAGTTAGGTTTCAACAAATGAATTTGGGAGGGGCACAGACATTCAGTCTATAGCAGTCTGGGTTCTCTGGAATCACATCCAGAGAAAAGGAAAATGTGACACATATTCTTCCTTCAAATGACCTGTCCCTTTTTCTTCCAATAGGAGGAACAAGCTGTTTGGGAGCACCTGCAGCCAGCCCCAGCTGTGACTCCAGCCCCCTGGGGAGTCCAGGGTGGGCAGGACAGTTGTGGGGGAGGAGGCCTAAAGCATCAGACAGCAGGCTTCTCTCCCGCTACCTCCCCAGAGGCCCCCTCTCCACACGCCCTCCACTTCTAGGAGAGCAGGTGGCACTGTGGCTACTACAGAGCCCAGCCCTGTGTCTGGCCTTTTGAGCCAATGTTTCTGTGTGTAGCGGGCATCATGCTTAGGCTTGTGACTCAGTGTTTCTGTGTGAAGCCACATAGCTCTGTGAAATAACACTTCCCACTGGGCTTCTTACTCCCTGTAAAAAGAGCACTTTGCTCTGCTGTGGTGATATAAAGTGTCAATAACAAACAAGACAAAGGAAGGGAGGGTAATGACTCTCCCTAAGCACCTGGATAGCCACAATTTGTGAAAAAGGTAGAAGCCAAAAGAGCAGGCAGTGTCTAGATGTCTTTCTACTTGCTAGTGAATCTTATTTTTATCCTTTGTGCATCCAGAGATCTGCTACTAGTGTCTATGGGTTTCTTGCCTTCCCCTGTAGAGGTTTCCTGTAAAAGAGAAGGGGAAGCCTTGGAGGAGATTCTTACATGGTGACATTCCAAAGTTGCAAAGGAGTAGAGTGACACCCTCCCAGAGCAAAGTCTAAGAAGGCTAGAGGAGGAGTAGGAAGGCTTCTGGAGGAGCCTGCCTGCTGGCATTCCACTGAACCTGGGAACTGAGGGGGCTGTAAACCAGGAGATAAAAATGGTGTCTGAAGAGAATGAAACAAGGAAATGACTTCAGGTTTCAGAAATCTTTGAGCTAATATGTGGTGGTTTCTGACTCTATTCTTCCATAGGACCATGTGGATTTTCATGGTGACTATCAATAAAACTTCCTAGGAAAACCAGGACTTTGCATTTGCTTCTGGGGTTAGAGGGAAAAAGATAGGCTGAAACTGTGGGCCATCCATGTGTTTCGGCTAGAGTAGGTTCATACTCTCTGGGAGGTATAGAGTGGGGGCAGTGACAACATAAGGGAACTGGGCTGTTCCAAGAGTCCTGAAATAAGACCCCCTGGCTCATAGGAATGGTTTGAAATGATGGGTACTATGGTTACACCATAAGGAAGAATGGAGACAGGTGAAACAGGGAGACCCAGTCCTCAGGACGGAGTCAGGTTAAGATGGCTGGGAATGGAGGGTAGCTGGTGTGTGTGTGCACACACACGCACAAGTGTGTTTATGTATATGGTATACTGGCATGGGAGGGGTGAGAGGGTGCAGATGGAGGATAAACAGGGATAAGACAAGAAATTCCTACACCAAGATTTCAGGTGTCCAGGAGTCTGCATCCTGAGAGCTACTATATCTCCTCTCCCTTCTCTGGTGACTTTTATCCCTTCCTCATTTTGCACCATTGCTCCCCAGTCACTTTTTCTCATCCATTCCTTTCACTTACCTTGTTCTCCCATCCCATTAAGTACTCTGTACAACGAGGAGACTTGTGAAACAGCTAAATGCAATTAAGATAACCAGAGTGGATCCTCGGCCCTAAAAAAGTTACAATCTAACCTTTCTTCAAGAAAGGCTGTATCAACTGAAGAGAAATGGGTGCCTGCCTGGAGTTTAAGAAATAAAGGCCAATGAGTTGGTGTTAATCCAGGACATTGGGAGGGAGAATATTTAGCATTGGGGTCAAACGCCTCAAAGTTTCTCAAAGTCTGCATGAGACTACCTGCAAAAGCTTGGATTCTTTGAACAATCTTTTGGTAACTAACACCAGCCAGGGTGTGGAGAGTCTCGGGAGTGGGCAACGTGTCTCCGGTGACTTCGGTCAGCAGGCCACTAAGGGCTCCACTAAGTCCAGACGGGTGGTGGTGGTACAAGCGACCCCGCCAGGTTATAACTACAAGAATGAGCGCGCCCTCAGTTCCAGAACTCGCGACTCTTGGCAGCGGGTCGATTCATAATAGCCTGGCTTCAATTTTGGCTTCCCCTTTGCGACAAGTGGTTACCTGAGTCAGGACTCGAGCAACAGGCTAACGACTGCAGGGGCTGCCACTGCGGGTGGGGAGGGCGGGGCACGCCTGGTGCGCATGCGCAAACTTCCCAGAACCGGAAGCAGCGCAGAGCCGGGCATGGCGGCTGCGGCCGAGGGTGTCCCGGCGACTCGACGGGAGGAGCCTGCTCGAGGTACCCGGAATGGATGAGGACGGGCGGGGGGCCTGGGGCTCGGGGTGCGGACTCGGGATGGCAGGGCTGAGTGTGTGGTTGGCTCACCTCGCAGGAGCGGGCAGGTCGGAGGGGTGCACCTGTCTTTGCGCGCAAGTGTTTGTCCTGTCAGAGCGACTGCGAGGGTTTGGCCAGGGGATCAGGTTTGAGCGAAGGGCGAAGTTGGCGTGTAAGGTTGGCAAGGACGAAGTGAGGGATTGAAATTATGGCAGATGGGGTCTGGAGCTGACTTGATCGAGTGAGAACAGTTAGAGGGATGTAAGAACAGGCTGTTTTGGCTGGATTAGGACCCGGGGTAGGGCGGGACATTTACTCATTCTCCCTTGGCCCAGACGATGCCGCGGTGGAGACAGCTGAGGAAGCAAAGGAGCCTGCTGAAGCTGACATCACGGAACTTTGCCGGGACATGTTCTCCAAAATGGCTACTTACTTGACTGGGGAACTGACGGGTGAGGCGGGGTTGGGTTGATTCGGATATTGCTGAGCACCACTCCCTGGACCTGTGGTTGACTCAGGAGCCCTGGGGTGCTTTAGCATCTTCAGTCTGCAGCTCCCTCACCCCACATGCCCTGAGACAGGCCTGTCCTAAGTTTGGGGAGGTCATGTATGGGAGGGAGAGAGGTATATATACACAAACCACATTTTCTTTATCCACTCATCAGTTGATGGACTCTTTTTTTTTTTTTCTATCTGAGGTTTGAAGCTTGGGTGGTGCCATCAGCCAAAATGGGGCTGCTGGAAAGAGGAACCATGTTGGTGTGAAAATGTTTTCAGTTTTGGGCTGGCTGCTTGTTGATATTACTAGGACACTCAGGTGACTTTTATCAGGACACTCAGGTGACTAGTGTATGTGAGTCGAGAGCTCAGAGACTGGTCAAAGCAGGAGAAATAGATTTAGGAGTCACTTGCATAATGGTGTGATTGGAGGCTGTGTAGGATGAGATTGCCAAGGAAGAGCTTAGAGGTAAGTTAGAGAGCCTAAGCTAAAATCTCAGGGAATGCCTGTATGGTGAAATTAATTTGCTTTTTTTTTTTTGAGACAGAGTCTTGCTTTGTTGCCCAGGCTAGAGTGAGTGCCGTGGCATCAGCCTAGCTCACAGCAACCTCAAACTCCTGGGCTCAAGCAATCCTCCTGCCTCAGCCTCCCGAGTAGCTGGGACTACAGGCATGCACCACCATGCCCGGCTAATTTTTTCTATATATATTAGTTGGCCAATTAATTTCTTTCTATTTTATAGTAGAGACGGGGTCTCACTCTTGCTCAGGCTGGTTTTGAACTCCTGACCTTGAGCAATCCACCCGCCTCAGCCTCCCAGAGAGCTAGGATTACAGGCGTGAGCCACCGCGCCTGGCCAAGCTTTGCGTCTTGAGTGACGCTCCTGGGCAATGCTGTATTGCCCAAAGAGTAGAAAAATGTATGTTTACTGTGACAGAAAGCAGGGGCATCAATATTTATGAGGCAAGGAACTTGGTAATTCCCCCAAAAAGGCATTGCAGAACTTGTGGGGAAAACCAGAACTTTATAGTTCTTCCTTAAACTTATTTTATGTTTTAGTTAATTTTGAGTTACTCAAATGCCCTTGATTAGTCTTCCCTTCCCCCTAGTTGTCAGAACTCTCTCCTTTGTTTCCATTTCCTTATACACTGTTGTCTCCTACCTTTTGCCCTGAACTCTTCAAAATGGTCAATGTTATGAAAAAGAAAACCAAAGTGGGGGGGAGGGTTGTAGGTTAAAAGAGACTAGAGATGAAATTAAGAGCAAGTGTGAAACTTGATTATTTTTATTTTTATTTTTATTTTTTTTAGACAGAGTCTCGCTTTGTTGCCCAGGCTAGAGTGAGTGCCGTGGTGTCAGCCTAGCTCACAGCAACCTCAATCTCCTGGGCTCAAGCAATCCTTCTGCCTCAGCCTCCCAAGTAGCTGGAACTACAGGCATGTGCCACCATGCCCGGCTAATTTTTTCTATATGTATTATTTGGCCAATTAATTTCTTTCTATTTTATAGTAGAGGTGGGGTCTTACTCTTGCTCAGGCTGGTTTCGAACCCCTGACCTCGAGTAATCCGCCCGCCTCGGCCTCCCACAGTGCTAGGATTACAGGCATGAGCCACCGCACCCGGCCTTAATTTGCTTGTAATAAGTGTTTAAAGTACCTAGGTTTCCAAATTATTTATTAATATTTATTATAAAATTAATTTTAAGGTGATCATTATTTCCCTGTGTCTATTATTCTTACTTGCATGAGTGCTTTTTTGAGTTTAAAAGGAAGCTGGCATAACCCATGAGAATGTGCCACCCATGTAAACATCAGTTATGTGTCACAGCTGAGATAAAGTTGAGAACTGATTCTTAAGGGGTCTGGACAGAAAGGATCTGGCATAGAAACCTAAGAAGAGCAGTTGGAGATTAGAAAATCAGTTTAGTACAATTCCATTGCAGCTAAGGGAAATGAGATTTTCACAAAGAGAGGGAGATCAGTAGTGTCAGAAAATGGAGAGGTTTAGGAGGATAAGAACTGAGCAAATGCCACGGATTTGGTGGTTAGCAGGGCATTGATGACCTTGGAACTTGTAATTTCTCTGGATGGTTGGGGCAAAGACCAGACTACAATGGTTTACGTGAGTGAATTGTGAGGGAGAGGAAGTAGTGAGTGTCAGCTACTATTTCAGATTGTTTAGCAGTGAAGCCCCTTTGCTTTACTGAGCAAATGATTTAAGTGTAGCAGAATAAAGGGAGTGCTTTTGAGCTGGAGGAAACCTGAATGTATTGCTATATAGAGAGGAAGGAACCATTATGGTGGGAGAGTTTGGAAATGCAAATGAAAGGAGATGATTGAAGTGAGGCTCTGAAGGGTAGAAGAGTTTGGGATCAAGAGCACAAGAGGGGGCTGTCTTGGCAGAAATAGGAACACTTTTGCCTCTTGGGAAGATATTAAGGTACAGAGAAGTTTAAAAGTAAGGCAGAGAGGTTGAAGCAGCTTATGTTAGTGATCTTGGCTTTTGGGAAAATTAGAGTAGAGGTTATTTGCTTTGAGTGGGGATAGGGAAGAGAATTGAGGATATGAGAAGCAGACAAATCGTTTGGAAAAGTCACTGCATAAATGCAATATATTAGGAACAGAATCATACACAGTAATAAATGAGTTACTAGGAAGTGGTGAGGTCTTAGTTGATAGTATATATATTATGATGCAATCCCCCAGATTACATGTTTTGATGCTATGGGAGTACCAAGACTATTTTGCCTCCCTTTTCTTAGAACATGAATTTATCATTTCTCTTTGTAACCATGACCCTGAATCTTCTGGATCTTGTTTAAATAGTTTGGTGATTGTTGCCTAAATTTCTACTTAGACATTCAGAGTACACAAGCTAAGTATAAATGTCATAGATCAAAAGTGGCCCATTCCTTTGACATTCCCTAGGCCTTGCCTTGAATTACCAGTTGGTTTATAATTTCACATTCCAATGATCTAAGACAAATCTTAAAGCCATCTTCTGTTTATTTTAAAGCTACCAGTGAAGACTATAAGCTCCTGGAAAATATGAATAAACTAACCAGCTTGAAGTATCTTGAAATGAAAGATATTGCTATAAACATTAGTAGAAACTTAAAGGACTTAAACCAGAAGTGTAAGTAATAATTTTTATAATTAAACATGTTTGTATTTAATGTTTTTTTGTGCATGGGGCTATGGAGAAGGTGAGGGAACCTGGCATCCCTGTCTTGGGGGAGCTCATTTTCTAAAAATGAATTATAAAATTAAGGTGAATTTCTTTCATTCTGAGGATCAGCATGCCTTGGTGGTATGGTTATTTCTGCTTCTAAATCTTGATTTTATCAGTTTACTCTTGGATAGAGAGGAGGCAGAGGAGGGGTGGCCAGATTCTAGTAAATTGATTTAACAATGAAATCCATAAAGGACTACTCTATTAAACAGAAAATCAGAAAATCTGTAATGAAAGATGCTAATTTAGAGTGGTCAAATACATTTTTCCATTTACTTATATTTGTGTTCCTTGTTTCTAGGGACTCTTTCTTGGTATGGAAGTACCCAAGAAACTGAATCAGTAATGGAAAGATTACTCAAGGAGCAAGAAATTAAAAAGAAAGGAAAATTAATAGTGGAGAGAGCTATTAATAGGTGACTAGGTCACAGTCATGCCTGATCAGCTAGCTACTGAAAGCATCTGCCCTACTAGTGATCAGAATCGTGTCA